TTCAGAACCAGCACACACTACAAGAACTGGAATAGGCATTTGTAAAAAAAAAAATTACTGTATATTTACGAAGCATAATTGTATGTATTTATGGGGAACAAGGTGATCTCATGATACACGTATATCATGTGGAAGGATGGAATCAAGGTTATTATCATATCCATCACTTCAAAAACTTATCATTTACTCCTAAAGTTTAATTGAAACTTTGTACCCATTGACCAGTATCTCCCGATTTCCGCCACCCCCAGCCTCTGGTGACCACCATTCTTTTTGCTTATAAAAATTTTAATTGGTTTAAAGTGTACATATAAGGAGAAACCAGCCAGTCAAGATGGTGGACTAGACAGTCCCCAGCATCACTCTCTCCCAGAAATCAACAGATTTACAACTACATGAAAAAGCAACAGCAGCCAAGCTGGGGCCACTATAGCTCAGGGGAAGAGGAGGAAAGACCTACAAAGTGCATGAAAGTGGGAGAAACCATTATGAGAGAAAGAAATAACTGCTCTGACCATTTCATGCTGCACCCACTTTAAGGCTAGACCTGATGAGCACACAGAGCTGGAACTGGCCAAAGCCACACACTAATAGGGTTCCAGGGACCCACGTAGGAGGACCTCAACAACTGAAAAAATGGAGAAACTCAGAGGCTGGTGAGTCATCACAAGGGAGTGATGGGAAGTGTTTGCAGCATGGGCAGTGGGAGAGTCAGGCCCACCAGGGGAACACTGGGGCACATCAAGGACAGCTGGTCTACACTGCAATCAGTGTAAGACCACTCAGAGGAGACTGGTCATGAATATCGAAGGGCATGAGATGCAGTTCAATCAAAAGACTCTGGCCCAGATCAGAGTTACTACACAACCAAGGTGCACTAAGTCTTTGGAGAGCTAGAAGTACCTATAAAGTCAACCATTATAGCCTGTGCTGCACAAAAACCTTCCCTAGGGAAGCAGCAGCAAAGCAGCAATTTATATAAACCACAGAGCTCAAGTATTTGTCCCCACAGGGACAAGGGACCCACCAAGGGATCTAAGGGATGGAGCCAGGGACCAGACCCCCCTCCCAAAACCAGGCAAACTATGCCAGTGCCTTGGGGCCCACCTGGGAAACTGAAGCAGGGATCCAAGGACCAAACCACCCACCCACAACCAGGCACACAGTGTCAGCAACTCAGGGCCCACCTGGGGACCCGAGGCATGGAGACAGGGACTGCATCCCTCCACAATTCAAATAGGCACACTGCACCAGCGCCTCATGGGCTTGCCTGGGGAACAGAGTGATGGAGCCAGGGATGGGACACCTCTGCCTGCAAATATGCACACCACACCAAAACTTTGGGGCCCACCCAGGGACATGAGGCATGGATCCAGGGACTGGAACCCCTCCCACAATCAGGCAAAACTCCAGGCCCAGGAACCTGAGACATGAGGCTGGGGACTGGACCCGTCCCACAACCTGGCACACCATGTCAGTGCCTCAGGGACTGGACCCTCCTCCTCTCAACCAGGCACACCATGCCAAGGCCTCAGGGCCCAGCCAGGGACCCAAGGATGGAGCCAGGCATCGGACTTCCCTCCCCTCAACCATGCACACCCCACCAGTGCCCAGGGCACACTTGGGACCTGAATCCAGGGATGGGATGCCCCTCCTACAACAAGACACACAGCACCAGTGCCTCAGGGCCTGCCCAGGGACCTGAGGCACAGAGCTGGGGACCAGACCCTCCCAACAACCAGGCACACCGCCAGTGCCAAGGAGCACACCAAAAACATCACCTCTGTGTGGGTGGCCTACCATAGCCACCACAATAACCATGGCTGCCGTGAAAGAAGCTAGATGCTACAACCACCACGCAGGTAGTCCGCTAGCCATTGGAGTGCATGGACACAAGGAGACCCACGAGCAGAGATAAAAGAAGAGGATGTCTCTCTACAAAGCCCATTCCGAAGTGACAGAAGAAGCATCTGCTCTACAATAATGTGTGGGGACCTGATCACACCTCTCAGCATTGGCAGATCATGTAGGCAACAAATCAACACAGTAAACATTATTCTTTCAGAAGGAGGGAAAAAATCTAGGGTAATTAGAGGCGGGAAAGGGGAGGGAGAGGGGAATGGAGTGAGATTAGACAAGGGGCATAAAGAATAAGTACTATATGTAACAATATATATGGTAGTAATATTGAGTTGACCAATATATCTCAATGTTGAACCCCCAAAATATGTATAATCAACTTTGATTCAATAAAAATTAAAAATAAATAAACTGTACATATAAGGGAGAACATGCAGTACTTATATTACTCTGCCTGAATTATTTCACTTAGCAAAAATCACCCATGTTAAATGTTGGTTCATCCACGTTGCCTACACAACCTTCTTCATTGAGGGCTAAATATGACTCCATTCTGAATATATACCACATTTTCCTTATCTATTCATCCATGAAGAACACGTACATTGATCCTATAATTTGCCAATTGTGAAAAAGCCTGCAGTGAACATAGAATGCATATATCTCCTGGACATACTGATTTCAAATCCTTTGTAGATATACTCAGAAGTAGGATTGCTACTTATATAGTAGTTCAGCTTTTTATGTTTTGAAAAACTTCCATACAGTTTTCCATAATGGCTGTACTAATTTACATTGGCACAAACTGTACAAGGCTTCCCTTTTCTCCATATCCTCCCCAACTCTGATCTTATTTCTTTTTGACAACAGACATTCTGACAGATCTGAGGTGTCATCTCATTGTACTTTAAATCTGCAATTCCATAATTAGTGATGTTGAGCTTTTTTTCATCTATCTGTTGGCCATTTCTACATCTTTCAAGAAATGTCTACTAAGTTTCTTTATTCATTTTTAAATCATATGATTGAGTAGTTTCAGTTTCTTAAATTTTTAAAATATTAGTGCATTGTAAAATTTAAAACATGGAAAGATTTTCTCCCAACCTGTAGGTTGTGCCTTCACTCTGCTAATTGTTTCCTTCGCTGTGCAGAAGCATGTTCATTTGATGCAATCCCATTTGTCTACTTTTGCTTTTGTTGGCTGAGCTTTTGGAGTCAAATTCAAACAAATCATTGCTTGGATGAATGGCATTCAGGTTTTCCCATTTTGTTTTTGTAGTTTTATAAGTTCAGGTCTTATGTTTAAGTCTTTAATCCATATTGAGTTAATTTTTACATACGGTGTGAGATAAGGGTAAAATTTCATTCTTCTGCATTTAAATATCCAGTGCTTCCAGCACCATTTA